AGAGAGAGAGAGAGAGAGAGAGAGAGAGAGAAGAGAGAGAGGGAGGGAATTTAATGCTTTGCAATTTTGTTCCATGTGTAAATTTATGTAATTTATGTCACCACCACCAGTCAGGATATAAAAGAACCCCATTGCCACAAAGATCCCTTATGTAACTGCACCCACTTCCCTCTTACTCATCCTTACTGCTGTATATAACTCCTGGAAACATCTAAGTTCTTCATTTATACAATTTTATCATTTAACCAATGTTGCAGAAATAATCATATAGAATACAACATCTTGGGGTTAACTTATTTTTTAATTGAGCATAATTCCCTGGCGATTTACCCAAAGTTGTTGTGTGTATCAATAGTTCATTCTTTTTATTGCTGAGTTCTATTCCATGGTATGGGTGAATCACAGTTCGTTTATCCATTCACCCATTATAGGACATTTGGATTGCTTCCAATTCTTGGTCATAACACACTTATGACCACTCAGATACAGGTTTTTGTGTAAACATAAATTTCCATTTCTCTGGGATACATGTTGGAGAGTAGAATTGGTGTGTTGTATGGCAACTGCATGCTTAGATTTTTTTTTAACTGCCAAGCTGTTTTCCAGTGTAGCACAACAATGTGAAATTCCCACCAGCAATATATGAGTGATCTAGTTTCTCTGCATCCTTGCCAGCATTTGGTGCTGCCACTGTTTTTTATTTTAGCCATTCTGATAGGTATGTAGTGATAGTGAATTGTAGCTTAATTCACAGTTCCTTAATGAAATTAAATTAAGCCTACAGATCAGTTTGGCGAGAACTGACCTCTTTACTATGTTGAGTCTTCCAATTTATGGACATGGTATTTCTGTTTATTTAGGTCATTATTGACTTCTTTTATCAGCATTTGCAATTTTCAGCATACAGTTAGTATGCATGTATTGTACAGTTTATACCTATTATTTCATCTTCTCTGGAGTGATATAAATGTGTTTTAATTTAGGTTTTCAGATGTTCATTGATACTATATACAAATAACATTAATTTTTGTTTGTTGATCTTTTATCCTGTGACCTTGCTGAAACCACTTTTTAGGTTTAAATGTTTTCTTTTTGTAGAATTCTTGGGATTTTCTAAATAGACAATCTTGTTATCTGCAAATAGGGATAGCTTTGTTGATACATTTCCAACGTGCATATGTTTTATTTCCTTTTCTTGCCTTACTCCAGTGGATAGAGCTTCTTGTACTATATTAAATAGGACTGGTGAGAGCCAAACCCTTGCCTTGTTCTGTGTTTCAGGGGAAAGCGTTCTGTTTTTCACCATTAAGAATGACAATTACAGTGTTTTTCTATGCCCTTTATCAAGTTGATGTTGTTTTTGTCTATTCCTAACTTGCTGAGAGTTTTTAAATTACAAATGAGTATTGGATTTTGTCAAATGTTTTTTCTGCATCAATTGATACAATTATTATGTTTAGTCTGCCAGTTCCTCCTCCTCCTCCTGTAAGTTGAAGGCTTATGGTGATGAAATTT